CTCGTGTTTGAATCGTCAGTGGCAAATTCTTTAAATATGAAAATGTGCTTACAGTCTGTGTGTCAGAACAGCCGGCATTGTAGTCTACTCTCCCAGGATCAGGAAACAGTCCTCCATAAAATGCGTTGCACACACACAAATATTTCGGTTGAACTGTTCTGGAGCAGTGTTGTAAATACAACTTAACCACTGATTTCTAGTTGTGTCCTCTTTGGAAGACCAAAGTCATTGCGCTTTCACAACGAAACACAGTGTCTCAACGACATGGCGGCAGCAACAATACTACAGCGAGAATCAAAGTTACGCCTTCTTTCTTTGCGTGAACATTTGGGCGGCGTTATGCAAATCTTCCCACACAGTGATGTAGACATGTGGGGGCGTGTTTAAACGAGGCGTTTTAGGAGGGCGTGGACGAGTCTTAACTTTTATAAAGAATATCTCTTTGGGTTTGAGACTTTAGTCTTTGCAACTTTAGGGATCTTATCTATTCACGAACAGCTTGTAACACTCCAAAGAGAAAGGAAAACTGGAAATCGCATCATATGACCCCTTTAATTTATTAAAAATAAATAAATAAATAAATAAAAAACTCAAACCTCAAACGTTTGGTAAATGATGAGATGTAGGTCCAAACACATGTGACAGACACTGAACATTTTTATTAGCAGACTGCTTGTATCTCTTTGGTTTGATCCACTCACCTCACTTAAGTGAGGGTTTAACATAAGGAATTTTTATTACCATTTATATTTTATACATTTATGTCGTGCCAGTCTATTTTTACTAGCAACTGGCGAATGTCGATTCTGGACCCTGTGAGTGTATATACCTGGTCTCCAGATGCATTTGGCTGAAGGAGGGACTCCACAGTACAGACCCTCATGCCATTTCCCAAACAGTCTGTGAATGACTTTCCCCTCCTGGTCCATCACTGATCCCTGCACCTCATTCACATTCGAGCTCCAGTAGTTTCCCTGGACACACACACATATACGCACATTAGGGCTGGGGATCTCTAGACACTCCACATTTAGATTCTGATTCACGATACAATTCGCGCATGGCTTTCTAAATATTTTCTAAATATATACTGTATGTGTGTGTATTTATATATACATAATAAATATACACAGTGCACATAAATATGTTATGTAAACAAAAACCTTCATTTTGGATGTGATTAATCGAGATTAATCGTTTGACAGCACTAATTATTATTACATAAAACAAAAAGAAAAATTGCCCAGGCCAACATATTCAAAAATAAAAATAAAAATTGAATAAAATTTGACTCGATGTCCATGAAACAATATAAATAATTATATCTTGCCGGCCCTGTACTTCTCTTTTAATAAAATTAAACAGAAAAAAATATGATGTCAGTATGTTGTTGTACATCATCTTTTTGGTGTGTTTTTTTATCATTTTAATCACAATTATTTTAATATAGCTACATTTAAAAACAATTTAAGACTAGTGCCCCCTAGTGGTTGAGAACCAGGACTTATTTGTGATATATATTTATATGCAGCTGCAGATGTGCATGTACCTTAACAAAGGTAAGTTTGCAGATGCAGGTAGTGTTGCGGGTGTTTCTGATCGTGACCTCGCCATAATGTTCGATCCATCGCCTCCCACTCAGAATGTTGTGGACGCACGTCGTCACCTTGTTCCACTCATAGTGATCACCATAACTACCGACACATGCAAAAAACATGATGCTGAGAGTCATGCAGACGAAGGGACAGATGCAGGCTGAATAAATGGTGCAGAGAAACAGACCTGGGCAGCATGACATTCACTGTTCCGATGGGAAGAATCTCCATAGACTTCCCCCAAAACTTATTCTTCCATCTGACGTCTGAAGCACAAACACACACACACACACACACACACTTGAGTGTGATGATATTTTTTTTTTTTGCGTGTAAAATACAGGTAAAATACAAATACTGGCTTACCCTGCCAGAAGGTGAAGTTCTGTGACTCACAGTGACAAGCGGAGATGGGCGGATGGTGGCTCACCTGTACAAAGATAGGAAGATATAATCTCCCACTCAAGTTTATAAATGAAGCACAGCAAGTAGCATTTCTACAGCAAAATTAATTCACATAAATATTAGATTAATACAATACTAGATTTTCACTTTGAGCACAGACAGATTTTTCTAATTGCACATACTCTGTACGCTCAGTTCACACATGTGACTTGAATTGGATTTCAAGCACTTCAACATTTTCCCTTCAAATTCTCCAAGACTGAACGATCTGAGCTGCTCTCACGTAATTTTCTGCTTCTATAATCATACAGTATTTCTCATTTGTTTTTATTAAAATTTTAAGAGCAACATTTAAGTAAAAGCTGGTACTTAAATAAAACGTCCATTCATTCATCAAAAAACTCGATTAAAGAGATAGTTCACCCCAAAATGAAAATCTGCTCTTAATTTGCTCACCCTCAAGCTTTTTCTTTCTTCAGTAAAAGAAGATTTTTAGCTGTAACCGTGGTCCTTGGTGATTCAAAAAATTCAAAAGTCAGCAGCTACCATCATTTTGAGAGTCAAAAAAAAAAAACCCCATAGAGGAAACCCAACATTAATACCCACAGCTTCTGACGATATATTGAGGTCTTATGATGTGAAACGATCGGTCTGTGCAAGAAATTTTACATTATTTACAACTTTATTGGATGTAATCCCCTCAGGCAAATGGGGAAATCCGATTCATTGTTTGCCAACTGGTTCTTTCTTGTAGTTCTGTCATGACAACTCTCGGAGGGACTGGCATGGTAATGTACATGACAATGTTAATGTATTTGGTCTTGGCGGAATAGATCTGCTACGCTGCTGCTGCGGCAGAGCAAGTACCGAGACTTGCTACTGCCAATACATCCACAACATGCTGCAGTGAGCATGTAAGAAATATTGCTGCTGCAAATATAACATACATGAAATAACCCCCATATAGCATACATGAATCAACTCATAGCAGATCTATACAGGTGGAGCTGGGGAAGGTGGAGGGTTTCTGAAGAAAGCTGCAACTGCTACGGCAAGCACTAGTCATATATTTGAATGTTGAGCAGCGAGCTCATTGGTTACCGATACAGGAGAGAACCAATCAGCTGTGCCATGTGATAATGATGTTATTAGGTCAGATCGAGTTAGACCTATCGGACTGCGCCATCTAGAGTTTCATGCCAGAACTCTGTTTATGTTTTACATGGATAAAGCATAAACTAGTCTTAATCAACTCACCTTTTCACATAAACCATGACAGTCAAGTGCTTGGTTCATACACGCACTTATCACCAGCTCATCGGCCTTTGGTCCGAGTCAGAACTGTTTCCTCGGTTCAGTGACTGTTAAAGGAACTGGAGCACTGAATCAGTTGGCAAAAACAGCATCATAGAATCATATATGCTGGTGTTTTGGCTCATTTTGAGTCGAAGTAACTGTCGGGCAAGTCCGAAAGTTGAGTAGATTGAGTAACTTGTAGATCTGTGCTGCTCAAGCTGTGAACTATTTCAGATGATTTTGTTTCAACTCGTTTACCAAAAAGAACCAGTTCAAAAGAATGATTCGTTCACAAACTGGACATCACTCCAGACTGAGGCTATGGATTACAGGTCATAATGTTGTAAATAATGCTCAGTTTCTTGCACAGACCGATCGTTTCACACCATAAGACCTCAATATTTTGTCAAAAGCCACGGGTATTGATTTTGTGTTGCCTGATATGCTTTATTTTTTTAATGGTAGCTGGTAACTTGCATTTTATGATTCACCAAGGAGCACGGATTCAGCTGAAAATCTTTTTTACTGTTCTACTCAAAAAAGAAAGTCATCCACATCTTGGGTGGCCTGAGAGAGAGTAAACTGACAGTAAATTTTCATTTTTAGGTGAACGATCACTTTAAGTCTCTTTGAGCAATAAAAAAAATCGCCTCTAAAATGTTCCTCTGGAATAGATGCTTTCCTTTGTAAAGGCCAACAGTAAAATAAAATGTAATTGTTCAGCTGATTCAGTTTGAAAACAAAAGTTTGAATGGTAAAATGAAGGGCTGCAGGGGCATCGGTTTCATTCTCACAGATCAACAGACTCCAGTGGAGAGAGACACATGTCGGTTAGTTTATACCAGCGTGTGTGGAGGATGTGAGATAAAACAAAATAAATTACGCTACGCTGAGCCTGTGCAAGTGTTTCTCTCTCATCACAGTCCTCTATGAACACACTGCATTATGAGTCATGGCTTCTTCTCCTGCACATGTATAGTGTAGTGTGCCACATGTATAGTGTAGCTTTCTCTGTCAGCGGCGAGGGATTCACATGTGCGAAATGCAGGGAAATAGTTTGGCTGACAGAGAAGATATCAGAACTAGAGACATGTTTCCAAACTTTAATTAAGGATAGTAAGAATGTGAGGGCTGTAGATACGGCTTTGGATGTGACAAGCTCAGCGAGTCCTGTACATTGTTTCTTTTCTCAGAAACCTTAATTTCTTTTCGATTGAAGAAAGAAAGACACAAACAACTTGGAAGACATGGGGGTGAGTAAATTATCAGGAAATTTTTTTTCTGGAAGTGAACTAATCCTTTAACCTGTCTTACACATAACATACGATCACTTTTCTATAATTCAAATCCGATTGTTAGGCTGCATTAATTAGGTCAACCCATCGGCCTTTGGTCCGAGTCAGAACTGTTTCCTCGGTTCAGTGACTGTTAAAGGAACTGGAGCACTGAATCAGTTGGCAAAAACAGCATCATAGAATCATATATGCTGGTGTTTTGGCTCATTTTGAGTCGAAGTAACTGTCGGGCAAGTCCGAAAGTTGAGTAGATTGAGTAACTTGTAGATCTGTGCTGCTCAAGCTGTGAACTATTTCAGATGATTTTGTTTCAACTCGTTTACCAAAAAGAACCAGTTCAAAAGAATGATTCGTTCACAAACTGGACATCACTCCAGACTGAGGCTATGGATTACAGGTCATAATGTTGTAAATAATGCTCAGTTTCTTGCACAGACCGATCGTTTCACACCATAAGACCTCAATATTTTGTCAAAAGCCACGGGTATTGATTTTGTGTTGCCTGATATGCTTTATTTTTTTAATGGTAGCTGGTAACTTGCATTTTATGATTCACCAAGGAGCACGGATTCAGCTGAAAATCTTTTTTACTGTTCTACTCAAAAAAGAAAGTCATCCACATCTTGGGTGGCCTGAGAGAGAGTAAACTGACAGTAAATTTTCATTTTTAGGTGAACGATCACTTTAAGTCTCTTTGAGCAATAAAAAAAATCGCCTCTAAAATGTTCCTCTGGAATAGATGCTTTCCTTTGTAAAGGCCAACAGTAAAATAAAATGTAATTGTTCAGCTGATTCAGTTTGAAAACAAAAGTTTGAATGGTAAAATGAAGGGCTGCAGGGGCATCGGTTTCATTCTCACAGATCAACAGACTCCAGTGGAGAGAGACACATGTCGGTTAGTTTATACCAGCGTGTGTGGAGGATGTGAGATAAAACAAAATAAATTACGCTACGCTGAGCCTGTGCAAGTGTTTCTCTCTCATCACAGTCCTCTATGAACACACTGCATTATGAGTCATGGCTTCTTCTCCTGCACATGTATAGTGTAGTGTGCCACATGTATAGTGTAGCTTTCTCTGTCAGCGGCGAGGGATTCACATGTGCGAAATGCAGGGAAATAGTTTGGCTGACAGAGAAGATATCAGAACTAGAGACATGTTTCCAAACTTTAATTAAGGATAGTAAGAATGTGAGGGCTGTAGATACGGCTTTGGATGTGACAAGCTCAGCGAGTCCTGTACATTGTTTCTTTTCTCAGAAACCTTAATTTCTTTTCGATTGAAGAAAGAAAGACACAAACAACTTGGAAGACATGGGGGTGAGTAAATTATCAGGAAATTTTTTTTCTGGAAGTGAACTAATCCTTTAACCTGTCTTACACATAACATACGATCACTTTTCTATAATTCAAATCCGATTGTTAGGCTGCATTAATTAGGTCAACCGGAACCAGGAACACTTCCCATAACACCTGATGTACTCGCTACATCATAAGAAGAATGACATCTACGCTAATATTAGTCTGTTTTATTCTTATTCCGAGGTCACCATAGCACCAGATCTAGTCTGTATCCAGATCAGATGGTGGATCAGCACCTAGAGACGACCTCTACATCCCTGAATGTCAGCGGAGACCATGTCAAGTAGACGAACCCTAGAGACAGATCCCCTGTGAAGACCTTGTGCCACAATTTCTGGCAGCATTGTTGACTTGACTGCACAGACACTATTGAAAGAGACCTGAACTGAGCTGGACGATGACATCACTGAATCAACAATGAACTGACTTTAACTGATCAACTGACTGTTTTCTATTGTCCTCTTGCATTATCAGCAGACATTTTTTCCTGTTTAACACTGTAAAGCTGCTTTGACAATCTGTATTGTATAAAGTGCTTTATAAATAAAGGTGATTTGACTTGACTTGTCAGTCACACAGCCTGTGGGAAAGTTCACTGCTGACAAAGACCTTTTTCAAGTCATGCAGGAAGAACCTTCGCCAGAGGACTATTGATGGCTTTGCCTCCCACAAACACACACACTGACACTGAAAGTGGTGCAGTGCTACAGTGAAGGACAGGAACTCACTTGGAACAGATACTGCAGCTAGTGTGTGTGTGTGTGTGTGTATGTGTGAGAGAGAGATACATTAATTCGTACCTGTTCAGAAAAGAAGCAGAATCCTTTGTCTTCACGGATACATTCATACGTTTCCCCCAGAAGGGGGTTAAAGGGTTTGCTGCCCGCTCTATAATATGTGGAGGAATATCCTGAAACTGCAAACGCGGCAACGATTGCCTGCACACACAAACAAAGCAACCTGTCAATACACTCATTACTACTGAAACCATGGAGTCCAGATAGACTGTGTGCTCTTTATACAGACAGAGCAGTGCTTACTGAAACAAGATAATGGGATAAATGTGCCTTAAGAGAGCATTACATCCACACAAACACAGTGTGCATGGTTTCAGGTCAAATCTAAATCTTTTTTGTGTGTGCATTGTGACACTATTTTCAGGAAAATTAATTACCCTTAAAAAAGTCTCATTAATGTAATCATTAATAATAATAATAGTTATATGATGATGATGATGATAATAATTATTAAAACATCTTATTTAAACGGCAAAGTATTTACAGTATGTGTCATTGTAGTATTTGCTGATTAAAAACATTAATAATTATAGAAAAAATTATAGAAAAAATGTATAGTTTTTTTTCTGGAAAATAAATCACATCACCCCAAAAAAGTCTAATTACTTTGATCATTTATGATAATAATAATAATAATACTTCTTTTTACTTTTAGTGCTTTGTGACATTATTTTCATGACAGCTAAGAATTATTTATAATAATAAATATTATTTAAATTGCAAAATAGTTATACATCATGATAGCATAAGCTGTTAAAGCGGATTAAAAACATTAAATATTATAGAAAAAAGTACTCACTTTTTTCAGTAAATGGATAAATCACATTACCCTGGAGATATGTCATTACTGTAATAATTCATGATGATGACAATAATAATAATAATAATAATAATAATAATAATAATTATTATTATAATAATAATAATAATAATAATAATAATAATAATAATAATAATAATAATAATAATAATAATAATAATAATAATAATAATAATAATAATAATTATTATTATTATTTTATGACAGTT